TGTTCCCTTGTGTACTTTTTTTCCTGGAGAGAAACCCAGAGCTAAATCCTATCCAATCTTTGTGTCACTGCCCAGTTATTTGGCTTAGTAATTACAGGCCTTGTCTCACACTGAAAATACCAAGAAGCAGCACAGGGAAGAGGGGGATGAGGTTCTGGAAGAGCGTGAAAAGACCATGTGAATACCTGTATCATGGTCCAGACTGTACCTACAGAGACATCCTCTCCATGTCCTACCTGCCACCAGCCCACAGGAGCCACAACTGCAGAAGTTACAGAAATAGACAGTAAATACATCCTTTGTTATTGACACATTTGAGGCAGGGGTAGTGCTCCTGCAAAAATCAGATGTCATGAAAAATGAGCACTGTGTACTCTCGCTATAGCTCAGGTGGGTATCTGAGGAAGTAGAAAGCCTCCATTTTAAAAAGGCTTTCATTTAAAAAGAGTGTCAAGAACTTAATGAATGAGACTGAAATCGGTGTCTCGGAGCTATGTTTCCACTTAAGTAGACTGGAAGTTGGTTGAAAGCCCAAAGAATTCTGTTTCACAAAATATAAAGGAACGATTTTGACACCTTTCGGTAAAGTTTCTAGATAAACCAAAAAAGCCTGCTTACAAGGCAAATTTACATTTCCATTTCATTATGAAATAGCAATTTTTTTTCATTTGCTTACTAAAGTCTAGAATGAAACACAAATGGAAGGTGAAAATGACAGCTTTGTTTTGGATTTCTTAAAGAAAAAAAAAAAAACCACAACCCAAAAGCCAAACTGCAGTAGCAGTTGAAAATAAAAACTCCACTGTCAGAAAAAATCCTGCTCATCTCCTGATTAAGGAACAAAAGTAGGAACAGTGATATTTCCCATAGCCTTTTTTTAAAAAAAAAAAAAAGAAAAGCCTGAAATACTGTTTTCTGACCATTTTATTCAATGGGATGGGTTTTCTCACTGTTTTCATCTCTTTCTCTCTGCCTGCAGGCCATGCCTGCAAAAACCAGATAATGCCACTGCTGCATAACTAGAGAAGAACTCCCTGGAGCACAGAGGTGTGAATGATTGAACCAGCCTTGGCAGGAGCTTAAAAGAAGATGACCACTTGTTCCTCAGAAAGGCAGTACATGGCTGTGTAAGATGGGATGGCAGGATCAGCTATGATTTCAGATTTGAATCTCTCCTGAGTCTGGAACAATCTCAAGCTGCACAACCGCAGCAGAAGAAATAAAAAAAAATCTTAAGCAACAACTTCCCATTTAGAAATCCTGAGTCACATCCTCTACTGAGATGGTCAGCTTCTTAAAAGAGCCCAGGATCTTTTGAACATTTTGTTCATGTTTTCAGAGCATGGGAAATTTAGCAGCAACAGTCATCATCAAGTGCAGCCAAATAACTACATTCTAAACAGCACTTGTGTATATATGAAGTTATACAGTTCAAAAGAGGATCTTTAAGAGGGGAAGGGAAGATGAACTGTAGGTTTTAATAAACGGGTGTGGTTTTGGTTTCTGCCTCTGTCCTATTTGGTTGCTAAGTATATGGCAAGAATAAATGAAGATAGATAACCTAGGGGGAGAATAACTGCATTGCAAAACCAGTTCAGCCAAGCTCTATTTTTCACTTGGCTAAAGAAGCTCCTTTAACTTAATATGACCTAGAAACTGCACGTTCTCCAGGAGTCCCAGCAGCCCTAATTAGCTGAAGAAACTGAAGCATTTTACCACATAACCTTCAAATCATCTCTTTGAATTCATTCTTTGCCTCTAAATCTCACTGGTTTCCCAAGCGTTTCCTTGTCTCGTTTCATACAACTAACGAAACAACTCAATCAAGGAACGATTTTTTTTATATGTGAGCAGATTCTATCTGCATTCTAAAGGTCTGACATTTGAAATAAGTTACCATTCTTTGCTTTGTTTCCAAAAGCAAAATGAGTCTGAGCATCACATCCTCTTACTGACCCACAAACGGTTTGTTAAGTACCTCATCTCCCTCTTTACACTCAGAAGAATACTTCCACATCCCAGGAGAAGAAGAGTTTGGGTACCTGATAACTGTCAAAATTTGGAGTCTAGTTGGCTCAGACAGCTACCCCAGAATCCTCAACTTGGTGGCTGTTTGTCTCTCACTTTGAACTGATCATAGTTTAAAAAAGGCATTTAGTCAAGAGATTTGTGAGCTTATCTAACCAGTGTTTTGAAGACAGCTGGTAAGGAAAAGAAAATGAAATCAACTAGTCTGTAAAAGAATTTTTAACACTACTTTTTTTTTCTAAAAATATTCAACTAAAAGCTTTTTTAAAATATGAAAAAAGTATTACTGGATTTTCACTCAAACACCCAAATCTTTTCCTGCTAAAGTTGTGGGGTTTTTAGAATAACTGAAGAATATTGTGTGTGTGAAAGTTTCAGTGAAAAAAATTTGGCCATCCCCAACAGGCTCTTAAAAGAACTTCTTCCTTTGTCTTGCTGCTGCTCACGTGGGGCTAAGTACATAATGGGGTAAGGAAATAACTTATCAGCAAGGGCTCATACCTGTCTGATTTCTGAATCAAGCACACATTGTATATTTGATGACTACAAAAACGACGAGAATGCAAGCCCACAGTCTGCAGCATTAAAACCCATTAATGCCAAGGCACAATGAAGAGAACAAAGGAAAACAAAAAGGGATGAGATGAAAGAAAGCAGGGCATAAAAATCTCACCTCAAGAACCAGCTGGGAATTTTCCAGCAGGAGGATTCCCTGATGGAAAACAACTTCCACAAAAATTCAAATTGCATTTTTTACAGTAAATATTTCAACTCCACAGCAAGGGAAATCGCAATGAAGCTCTGTGAATTGAACAGCTTTCAACACTTTCAAATCCTACTTCAGGTCAAAGACAAATGCTCAAAGATTAGAATATCTCTTAGGAGAAAAAAAAAAAAAAGTCCAGATTTGCTTGTTCACTTTGACCTTCCTGGGTAAGCTTTTCTTTGACAACCAAATTCCCATCAGATGGAAGCAAACCAATGGTTCAGAACCAACTAAGATGTCATTCAGCTCACAGCTTTGACAGCTCCTGCTTTTCTGGTTGCTTTTGGAGCAACGTGACTCAGACTAAGTTTGCTTCAGGTTGCAAATCCTTTTAGACGCGCTCCCCTTTCAGATTAGCTGGGGATGCAAACAGAAACTGATGCTACCAATAAATGACCTATCCCTGTTGTTCTCTACAATGTTCTGACTTCTCACAATGGGGTAACAGGGTAGGTTATTTGCTGGGCCAGTTCAGTATCACATAGACATATAACTGTTATTCCTTTCTTCAGGGCTGGTCATTTTCTTCATGTGCAAAAATTTCCCAACTGCTTGAAAACGTGCTTATGCTTCTGACACTATTTTTGCCTACTAAGAGAGCCACTAACACAACTAACTCGGAACTTGGTGAAAAATGTAATGGATTCCAGTTTTGTGTCAAAGTTCAAGATTGTGCACCTTCCACCACGATTATATTAAAGAATTAGAAACAGTAACATTTAGAATTATCAGACACTTCATTTACATATCTAAGAATCGAACTCTGTTGGAAACCTAGCTCTGTGATGCTGAATTGATGTTCTACCAGATGGTTAATTAACCGAGCACAAGACAGTCCTGCAGGCCAATGAGCTTGTTACGCAACTCCAGCACTCACCCTTCTGTTACCTGGCACCAATATCTTGAAGCAAACTAAAAATATTTCTTTAATCACCGCTTCATCACGAGAAAAATTCACATTGCAGAAACCTTCTAACCCATTTAACGTCTATCTGCAGCATAAAGCATGACTGGTTCAAGGACAGCCAGCAATGCAGCTCTGTTCCTTTCTCATTCTAACTCAAACCAGGTCGGGTTTGCCTACCTGGGCTTCTGCAAACTCAACTGGTCAACCCAGAATCTTCTAGGTTGGAAGGGACCTTAAAGATCATCTTGTCCAACCGTCAACCTAACTGACAAAAATAGACACCCACACAACAAACAAGGAGCATCATCACTAAACCAGACCTCCCAGCACTACATCAACCCGTCTTTTGAACACCTCCAGGGATGGGGCCTCAACCCCGAGGTATGCAGCCCAGTCCAGGAGCTAGAAGTTGCTCCAGTCCTCCAGGCTGGAGCTGGCAGACTGCTTGCACCATCTAGTGATGCCTGTGGGCTCACACAGCTTCTCCTTCCTGCCTGAAGCACAAGTGAATCCCAGCTGAGGACGCCTGTCATCTCTGGAGGCAAAAAGGAGAAAACAACAAAACTCAAATATTGTGGCAAGGGCCTGTATTCTCGCCTCAGCATCACCATTTTAACTGGCTTTTCCTCTGACACACCACATAACGCTTAATTAAGTACACCTGCATCGCGTTTGGATGGATATCAGATGAACTACATAGGGTTCACAGGGCACAAGAGAGTGGTACTGGACTTAACTGGAGAAAGCAGGAGGCAATGGGGAGGGTCAACAAAATTTCCACGTGCATTTTTTCTGTAAATCCAAAATTTTGAGACAAAAAATATCTAGAGGGTCATTTGTATTCCCCAGAAACAACACTTTCTATATTAAATAAACTTTTCTGAGCAAAACCACGTTCACCACTTTCTTCATGCTTGTCTATAAAGTGACTTTTCTCCAGAGGTTTTCCAGGATCTGGCTCATTGCAAGAAAGGACCAACATCTAGAGGGATATGAGACTCTGCAAAGAGCTAAGGTGCACTGGTGTCTAGAGGATAAAAGGCTGTCCTTGTTGAAGCAAAATCCAAAAGATCACAGACTTAATTTGGCCCCAGAATTCACACTTAGGTTGCTAGACATTTTGGTGGGAGCAGTATGTTATAAAAGGCAGGGGTTTGGTTGGTTGGTTTTTTAATTAGAAGTGGGACCCAGGAGCCCTAAGTCTCAGGATCTGTGCTGCAAGTTACTAAGCACCTATTTTAACTTGAATTGGACTGCCTGTCCCAGTTGTCCTTTATGTAAAACAGGGATAACTCTTACCTGTATTGTCAGAGTATTTCTAGGCCTTGCTGGCTGATGCTTGAAAAAGGCATAGAAATCTTTGAATGAAAATTCTGTAACAGAAATTCAGAGGATCAGGATTAAAACAGCACAAGAGAAAGACAACATTTCACTGAATTTCACTGAATTTTTAGAGTTGGAAGAGACCATAGAGATCATCTTGTCCAACTCCCCTGCCAAAGCAGGATTGCCCCTCAGGACTGCATCCAGGCGCATCCTGAAAATCTCCCCCCACCCCATTTCTCTAGTTCTGCCATGGGGAGCAGGGAAGCTATTCACTTAAAAATAAGCTTATAGGCTACCGGTGATTTCACGGCGCTTCTCATTCTTTCTGTCAAGTTTGAGGTCTCCCCCCCACCACCCCATTTCTCTAGTTCTGCCATGGTGAGCAGGGAAGCTATTCACTTAAAAATGAGCTTATAGGCTACCGGTGATTTCACAGCGCTTCTCATTCTTTCTGTCAAGTTTGAGGTCAGGGAAGATGAGAAAGGATGTGAGCAGAAGTGAGGTGCACTCCATTTTTCCCAGTACTATGTTAAAACCCAGGTTGAGTTCATGTTTCCAAAGAAGAACTCAAGTACCTACTCACAATCCAATCTTGTGTTACAATTATCCAAAGAGGTTTCACCTGAAGACTGAAGTTGCTGAGTGACATCTATATATGAGCTTATATATGCACTTTTGGAGCCCACCTTGGTCTAGTAAAGAGCCACGGGAGCTTTTTCCTCTGCACTCTGGGCTATGAAGATACACATCGTCTTTTTCTCTTCCTCAGCATTTCTCTGATGACTAGTCACTTAATTCCATTAGCAATTAATATTAGGCACTCTCCCATGTGTGGCTGCAAAAATGAAAATGCTATTACTTCAGGCAAGCCATAGGTAATTGGGCCTGAATAGCAGTGGGGGGAGTGGGTGCGTACGTGTGGGGGGATGGGGGTGGATGTTCTGATCTTTGTTTTACTTGATGGTCTTTTCTGGTCTTAATTTCTTTGGTTCTGGCATATAAAAGGGCAAGCCAGTTGAGCTTTAAATTAATCCTTTTTTATTATTAGCTTGCAAATCCATTAAGAATTTCCTGTGTTATTTGATTTTCAGTGAGGGCGTTATTAAGAATTAAACTTAAACCTAAAAAGATTAGACTTTTCAGGATCCTCCAGCAAACACAAAACCAGACAATATTAACACTACTCTGCTACTCTTAATACAAATACTCTTAAGAATTCCATTGTTGTGTTTCAAACTAATTGAATGTTTATCTGAAAGCCTTCATTATGCTAATATTGATAGGATCCATTCTCAATGCCAGCTTCTACTGAGATGACTCATTTTAATCTACATTGTTGCAGAGCTCCATTGCACAGTAATATGAATTTAATGACAGAATGCCTCAATTAAATCTCTGAGGTTTCCAGGAACATCTTCAGCTCTTCAAAAAGTTATTATCTCCCAGCCACATTGATTGGCCAAACATATTTTAAAGGCAACCTCCTCCCCCACCTCATTATGAAGGCCCAAGTCAAACTGACATTCAAACAAATGGTGGTTAGCGAATCAGCTTTTTCGTAATGATAGCAAGAGTTAATGGAGTTTGGACATCTTGATTTTAGCATGTCCTTTGAGAATCATCTTCTCTTTTTCTCTTGACTTTGCCACTTTGATGTTGACCTTCCCTTGCTGTCATCGTACTTGCCCTTCTTTTCTTCCCCCCGTACTCCTACAACCATGTGGGTGTTCCCATGAAGCACGTACTCCTCATGGCTATATGTCCTAAGAAGATTTTGTGCATTTGTGTAACTGCCTGAGTGGGGTGTGCAGGCACAAAAGGGAATCCTTGACCCCGCTCTTCTTGAGCTCCAGAGTCTGATGACCAAAGCTTCTGGCTCTTATTGCTTACCCCTCTGATTCATTGGAACAAGTGGGGGGCCTCAAGACCCATCTTCTGCTTGTGAAGACAGTGGATCTGTGCCAGAAAAAATGTTAAATATCAGGGAAAATTAATTCCTTTCATTTGACCTCTTTTACAAACTCAAGGACATAAAAGAGCCCAAATATTCGTATTATTTAAGAACACAATTCTCAGATACACATCTGATCTGAAGCCATGAAGTAATGGAGAAACCCAGCAAAGACTTTCATACAGTTGTTAATTGGCCTCAGTATTAATAGCCAATCCTTATTTTTAAGTTGTTTTTTTCTTATTTTATGTAAAAGTACTGTGCCTTCCTAACCTAAATCAAAGTTCTTCCCCCCTGTAAAAGTACTGTGTCTTCCTAACCTAAATCAAAGTTCTTCCCCCCCTCACAGTTATTTCTACATTATTGCCAAATCATGTCTCAATCAGCTTCATGTTTAGCAGACTAAATTGCATTCCTTCAGTCTCCCACTTCAACGTCCTCTGGATATAATTACAACATGCAAAAATAGGGTTCATTGTTAACATTTCTGTGTCAATAAAACACGGTTGCGCTTGACAACTACTGTAATTTTACATCAAGGATCTGAAACTCGGCCCGAGACTGCTATACTGGAAGATGAAGTCAGGTTTCAGTTTCCTCTCGACAGCAGTAGGATTTGTCTTGAAGATGAAAAATTCCCAGACAAGCTCTGCTGTCTGTCACTCCTCGCCCCACACACCTTCTGATGCGACCGCCGGCATTCAAACACCAAATCCTTTACTACTGTGCTTGGCAACCTGTGGCAGATATGAGAAATTCCACGTCAGTCAAGAGAAATATGAATAAATGCCTTGTCACCAGTGAAAGCGAAGCCTGATGAATTCAAATTTTTTTTACAAAGGCCAGATTCATGTATAAATCAAACTGAATGAAAGATTTATCACCTCTGTCTGCGCTACAGACACATCTTTCAGGAGTTATACTCCTTTAAAAATATTTGTCACAGTACTTCTGTCATATGCAGGACTTTTATATCAGTAGCAACATCTGAATATCACCGAACACTTTCAAACCTGTGGATTTTTATTCGACATTGCCAGAAATAACTCGGTTTCCAAAGATGTTACAAGCTTGCAGGTTTCTTGAGGTAGCTGAGTGGGTTTAGCCATCCTCAGGATCAGCTTGGCTTCTGTTCAGTCCCCGGGTGAGAACTTGCACAGACACTTCAGGTCGTATCTACACACGTTGTCTCAGAAGCTGAGGGGTCCCAGCTCCTTCACTTACTGTCACAGTTCAACAGCTGTTAAAGAAAGATGTTCCTGCTCAATGCAGGGGGGGTTTGGATGAGATGACCTTTAAAGGTCCCTCCCAACCCAAACAAAATTGATTCTAAATACAATCTGCATTTCCTATACAGAGGCAGCAAGTGTTTTCAGAGCTGCCAAGGTCTGGACAAGTTGTAGTACTCTAAAACCACAGGAGCAGTGCTCAGAGTGCAGGGTTAGTGGTGTTTTTTACCAAGAAGTCCAAGTCATGACCCAGCAGCAACTGCTCAGTCTGTACAGAAACTTTATGTCTGCATCTCTTGTTTGTCTGCCAATTACAGAATCACAGAATCTTAGTGGTTGGAAGGGACCTCCAAGATCATCGAGTCCAACCACATTTAAAAAACCCAAAAAAACCCACAACGCACACAACAAACCCAAAACCACCACCCACCAAATTGGTTTAACTTGTGGAAGACGAGGTCCTCAATGGTCTCTTTTTGCCTTTATGAATTGTACTGGCACGGACCTGAGCATGCAGCAGGTCCTGTTCCTTAAAGTTGGTTTGAAAATGGCTGTAATTTCGGCACCCTCAAGAGCTCTGGAAATTTCCAAATCTGTGCCTCTCAAATATTTTAACTTACTACAACAGTAACAGTCCTAAAAATTTCCCAGGCCAAACAGCTGCTAACTGTCAGGTTCCTATATTTTTAAAAAGGTTCTGGGGATTACTTATGACCAGTGCCTTGCAGTCTGGCACGGAAAGCAGACTGTAATTTGGGAACTACTGCACCTGAGCCAACAAGCATCAGCTGGCTCCTCCACTGCTTCAGCATAGACACTCTTGTTGAACTGGAGAGCTTAACAGCGACAGAAAACACAATATCACTGTGCTACCCACAGAGATGATTTATACCTTTAAGAGAAGGATAACTTGATCTCTCCTTATCCCTTGGAAAAGCCATAGGTTGCTCCAAGCCCCATCCAGCCTGGCCTTGAACCCCTCCAGGGACGGAGCATCCACAACTTCTCTGAAGAACCTCTTCCAGTGCCTCACCACCCTCACAGCAAAGATTTTCTCCCTAAGATCTAATCTCAATCTCCCCTCTTCCAATTTAAAACTGTTCCCCCTTGTCCTGTCCCTGCACTCCCTGACAAAGGGTCCCTCCCCAGCTCTCCTGGAGCTCCCTTCAGATATTGGAAGGCTGCTCTAAGGTCTCCCCAGAGCCTCCTCTTCTCCAGGCTGAACACCCCCAACTCTCTCAGCCTGTCCTCATAGGAGAGAGGCTCCAGCCCTCTGTTTCAACAGGTCCATGTCCTTCTTCTGTTCCAGTCCCCAGAACTGGAAGCAGTACTCAGTTGGGGTCTGACCTCAGCGGAGTAGAGGGGTAGAATCACCTCCCTCACAGAAAGCAGACTGTAATTTGGGAACTACTGCACCTGAGCCAACAAGCATCAGCTGGCTCCTCCACTGCTTCAGCATAGACACTCTTGTTGAACTGGAGAGCTTAACAGCGACAGAAAACACAATATCACTGTGCTACCCACAGAGATGATTTATACCTTTAAGAGAAGGATAACTTGATCTCTCCTTATCCCTTGGAAAAGCCATGCTGGAATGCCATCGATCTGTTTTGCTAGCGGTTTAAAATTGACTCTGCATAGGTATAAACAATTAATAAGCTGTGGAAGGACAACATTAGAGTAAGATTGGAGATTTTTTTGCTCTGAAGCTAAAGATTCCTGGCAGCATTTAAGCCAAGACTTTCACATCTACTCAAGGCATTCAGTATTTTTCTGTGCAGCCTTAATTTCTACTGTTACTTACATTGCTTCCACAGGTGGAAGATACCAGGTACCCTGTGGTACAGAACAAAAAATTCCTGCCCAATAAACTCAGAAAGGCCTAACTTTTTAGAAGACCCCCTAAAAAAAAAATAAGATCCCTTCACAGTGCAGCCCTGCAGCCCAAAGCAAGCAGCCTTTTTGCAACTCTTTCTGCAACTTCTCTGGAGACATTCAAGACCCACCTGGACAACCTGCTCTGGGTGGACCTGCTTTGGCAGGGGGGTTGGACTAGATGATCTCCAGAGGTCCCCTCCAACCCCACGTGATTCTGAGATGGCAGCAGATGTCTTACCACATCAACCTGTCTTTCAAGAGCCACTGTATTGCCAGGGCAATGGAGTCTTACTGGTGCAGCTCGCCACACAGCTGGTAGTTGTGCCCTGTGGGCTGTCCATTACACAACTGACGCACTGCTGAACTGAATAGGGCCAGACCCACTCTTATCAGAAGCAGGCAAGGTTCACCCAGGTCTGGCTCTGGACTGGCTTTCCACAGGCATGTTATCACCGTTGTCATATGAGTTTCTCTCCGTGTGCCCAAGCAGCAGTAAATAAAGTCATTCAGTGACTGTAACCACCACGCTGTAGTCAGAAGCACTGAAAAATGAGGTCATGCAAAAGGTTCAAAGGCCGAGTCAGGCCACCAGAGCTGCTATTTTCCAACTCAGTCCAGCAGCACAATGCACCATATCACACAGCTGATCGGGTGAAACTGAGTGCTGGGGAATCAGAATGGTTTGGGTTGCAGGGGATCTTAAAGATCATCAAGTCCCAGCCCCCCTGCCCTGGGCAGGGACACCTCCCACCAGACCAGGTTGCTCCAAGCCCCATCCAGCCTGGCCTTGAACCCCTCCAGGGACGGAGCATCCACAACTTCTCTGAAGAACCTCTTCCAGTGCCTCACCACCCTCACAGCAAAGATTTTCTCCCTAAGATCTAATCTCAATCTCCCCTCTTCCAATTTAAAACTGTTCCCCCTTGTCCTGTCCCTGCACTCCCTGACAAAGGGTCCCTCCCCAGCTCTCCTGGAGCTCCCTTCAGATATTGGAAGGCTGCTCTAAGGTCTCCCCAGAGCCTCCTCTTCTCCAGGCTGAACACCCCCAACTCTCTCAGCCTGTCCTCATAGGAGAGAGGCTCCAGCCCTCTGTTTCAACAGGTCCATGTCCTTCTTCTGTTCCAGTCCCCAGAACTGGAAGCAGTACTCAGTTGGGGTCTGACCTCAGCGGAGTAGAGGGGTAGAATCACCTCCCTCAACCCGCTGGCCATGCTTGTCTTGATGCAGCCCAGGATGGGGTTGGCTTTCTGGGCTGTGAGCACACACTGCTGGCTCACGTTGAGCTTCTTGTCCACCAACACCCCCAAGTCCTTCTCGGGGCTGCTCCCAATCCATTCTCCACCCAACCTGTGAGGTTCCCCTTTGGGTTACATTCTTGGACTCCGCAATTCAAACTTAGACCTCAACCTTTTCAACCCGGACACCTGCGCCAATCTGAGGTTGGTCTCTTACTTGGGTGGGTCGCTCCCCCAAGAGCTGCATCACAAAGCATACAAAAAGAGATTTAAGCCTCAGACATCACGGCACAGCTTCGGATCTCTTAGCACAGCAAGTCAGCAGCCCAAGCAGGGGAATTTTATGACACCAGCATCAACGGAACAGCCAGTTACCCCAGTCACCCTGCAAAGTGTGCCCATGTGTGGTGGCCACATCCACCTAGATTGCAGCCTGGATCCCACCAGCAGAGTAAGACCTACTGTTCATCAACACAGCAGCTGACAATATTGCCAAATCTCACAATTTTATTACAAATATTATGGATTCTCCCCCTCTTCCCTCCAGAAGACAACATTTGGTTTTGTGAAAAGCAGTTAGGTGGCTAATTCTCATCATAACCAGGATGACAAGTCATTCAGTCCTGTGCAGGTTTCATGCAGTTTCAGCTTTCT